AAAAGATAGATTGAGGGTTGGAGGAAAATAAATCCTCCACTAAGACCAAGCAAGGGTATGCTGGAAAAGTCTCCACAACTGTTGGTGATTAATGTCCCTGATGTCGGATAACCTCAAACATATGGCTTTAGTAATGCCTTGCTCTTTAGGGTCCTTCGTCCACTTGAAGTTTCAACAAGGATAACATCCTTCCATACTTGTTTCTGAATCCCTCTTGATCTTGAACCAAAGCTCTGAATTTCCGTAGGTCATCCAACTTAAAACCCTTAAAAGAATATTTCAAAATAATTTCCTAATGTAATCCATGGTATCCCTGCAATGTTCATAAATAAAGTTTGAATTCCATGAAACTTAATGCAATGTGATGCTTTATGGATGCAATGCACAAATATACATAAGGTCCTAGGTTAAAGGTATATGAGTGGAGTCAAGGTCTACCCTTTCCAAAAGGTAAAATAGGTATTCCACGGTGAGAAACCTAATACGAAGTGCGGGGACTCCTTATCCTAATGCTAGGGTAATGGGTAATTTGGTCCACGGCGGGACGCCTATGCGATTAGGGTTTTGAAATGTTCAAAGGTGAGAACTATTGACACGGCGGTCAAACGGCTAAACCTAATCCTTCGAAGGGGTTTAACAATAAATAATGTAATGAAAAATGATTAAGCGGCAGTATGAAAATATGGAAAAGTACGAAAACAGTAAAGGAAATGCAAAGCGACGATATCCTCTCGTAAATTACAACCATGAAAAATGCATGAATAATAATGAAATAAAAGCGACGATTGCCTCGCATAAATTCTAGATGCTCCAAGCGTGAAAAAAAACATATTCTAAAATACATTGGACATCACTAGCATTCATCAATCTCAAAAATTCACCACCAAAAGAGAATCAATCTAAAAAAAACAAACAACCATAAATCACTATAAAAAAAATTCACTTACTTGTTACCCTTAATCTTAAACCAAGTCTCAGTACAATGTTTATGCACAGCAGCCAAATGAAATGGCGGAGGTGACGAAATCAGTGAGGGAATGAGAAGGAGGGAGGTTTCGTCGTGGGTCGTGGGCGGAGGGAGTACGGTGCGCGCACGGACGGAGGAGGAAGGAACACGGCGCGCGGACGGTCGTGTGTGGGGGGGAGGCAGAAGGCGCTGTCGTGGGGCGGAGGGAGGACATAGTGGGTCGGAGGGGGAACGGCGACGGTCGACGAAAGTGGGTCGTGAGGAGGAGGGTTTGAAAGAAAGCTTGAAATGTGTAGGTTCTGTTGTGAACATAAACTTATTTTGGAATTCGCAAGATCTTTTAAGTCGATTGAGTATGGAACCGATTTAAAAGCATAGTACACAAAACTTTTTAAATCGGTGGAAAGCACAACCGATTTAAAAAGCTCACTCGTATTGACTTTTTAAATCGGTGAAAAAAATAATCGATTTAAAAGCCATTTGTTAATTTATTCTTTAAATCGGTGGAAAAAAGAACCGATTTAAAAGCCCATTTTTTAATTTATTTTTTAAATCGGGAAATTTTACCTCATACCCTATCAGTTATACCCATACCCCCACATTTTTTTAAAAATACCTATTTTATCCCTATATATTTAATATTTTATTATTTTATTTATTTTATATATTTTTAAGAGTTCTAATTCAACTGTCTATCGGAAGACTTCAAAAATGATATCTGGTAGGCTTTTTTTTCCAAACCGGAACACATGTTTAAAGAGTTCCGGAATGCAAAAAATAACATACCGGAAGACTTCATAAAAGACTTCCGGTATTGTAATTTAAGTGGTGTTCACCGGAAGACTTCATCAAAGAGTTCCGGTAGTGTAATTTGTGTGGTGCATACCGGAACACTTTGATGAAGTCTTCCGGTACGTGTTCCATTTTTTTTTTTTAATTTTTTTAATTTTTTAATTTTTAATTTTTTTAATTTTTAATTTTTTTAATTTTTAATTTTTTTTATTTTTAATTTTTTTAATTTTTATTTTTTTTATTTTTAATTTTTTTTTATTTGAATTTTTTTTTGAATTTTTTTTTATGTATTTTCGAAAATTCCTTTACAAATATGTGATAAAGATCAGATATGTGTAGATACGTCTGATGTTTTTTCAACAACTCAAAGATTTGGTACACGAGAAGAGGTAATAAGATGGATTAAAGAGATCGGAATTCGAAATAAAGTTACGGTTATCATCACTCGTTCAGATATTAAAACAGGCCAGAGAGGAAGAAGTAACAAATTAATATTTGGATGTGATAAAGGAGGAAAACACATAGATAGTGATAGTGGAACCCAGAGTGCGACGAAAAAATGTGGATGTCCATTTAGAATCAGATCAATTCCAGCGACTGATGGATCTGGATGGAAGATTGATGTAAAATGTGGAGTTCATAACCATGGTTTACCTGATAGATTAGAAGGTCACGCATTTGTCGGTAGGTTGACAGCGGATCAGAAGCAACATGTTGTTGATTTGACAAAGAGAAAGGTTCCACCTAGACATATATTGCTTTCATTGCAAGAGCAAGATCCAGATAATGTCACTCGGATCACGCAAATATACAAACAGAAGAGTATGATAGAAAAAAATATAAGAGGTCCTAGAAGTGAGATACAACATTTGTTTAAGCTTGTTGGGGAAGCAGGTTATGTTTATTGGAGTAGAAAAAGAGATGACTCTGAAGTAATTAGAGATATCTTTTGGGCTCATCCAGATTCAGTTAAATTGTTGAATATTTTTCCTATTGTGCTAGTTATGGACAGCACTTACAAGACAAACAAATATAGGCAACCTCTGTTTGAAATTGTTGGCATGACATCAACCGAGTTGACTTTTGCCATCGCATTTGCGTATATTGAGTCTGAGCAAATTGAGACTTTTTGTTGGGTGCTAGATAAGCTTAAACAATTGTTTGTGAAGAAAGAGTTGTGTCCACAAGTGATTTTGACAGATAGAGATCTTGCTTTGATGAAAGCCATTGAAATTGTGTTTCTAAAGTCGATCAATATGCTATGTCGATTTCATATTAACAAAAATGTTGGTGCAAAACGGAAACAATATGTGGCTAGTGAAATGCAAAAGAAAATTGACGATTTATGGACAGATGTTGTATGGGCTAGTAATGAGGTTGAGTATGATCAAAGGTTGAACCAACTTGAGCAGGCGTGTGTTGATTGTAATAAATTTATTGATTATGTGAAGGACACATGGTTGACACCACATAGACAAAGATTTGTTGGAGCGTGGATTGATCGAGTGCTACATTTGGGTAACACCACGACTAATCGGTATGTATTTATTTTTAGTATTTATAAATTGTATTTTATTTTGAATTTTTTAAAAATATTTTTAATCTGTATTAATTTTAGGGTTGAGTCTGCTCATTGGAAGTTAAAGCAAATGTTAGGGAACAGTATTGGTGACATGGTCAAATGTTGGGAGGCTATGAATGACAACTTGAAGTTACAATTGAGTAATATTAGAGCTTCTTTTCAAAAGAGTTTTTATGAAGTTGAGCATGCCCACGTAAGTCCATTTTACAATAATTTACGTGGTTCAGTATCTCGAAATGCATTGAGACGCATTGCTGAAGAGTTAAAACGAGTTGATTATGTTGGAACTAACAAGGAAATATGTCGTTGTACTCTTAGAACAACCTACGGATTACCTTGTGCTTGTGAGTTGACAGGATATAGAATTGATGGTATACCGATACCAATAGATGTTGTACATGTTCATTGGAGAAAACTAAGTATGGAAGTTAAGTTGGATGAAGACGTAGATGATGGATCAGAGGTGGATATGAGTAGTGCAATAGATGAGTTATGGAAAAGGTTTAAGTCACTGGATGTTGTTGGGAAAAGGGCATTAAAAAGTAGGGTGTTTGAACTTGCCTTCCCTACAATGACTTCTATGTGTCCACCACCTGAAAAAATAAAAACTAAAGGGGGAATCAAGAAGAAAGACAAAAAACCAGTAGGATATGATGTTTATAGAGACCCTTCTTATCACGAGTATGTTGATCAAGCATCTCAATCTTCACAGATGCAATCGCAACCATCACAAACTTCGAAGAAGTTGAAATTATCACAGTCTTCACAAAAGAAATCTCAACCATCACAAGCTTCGAAGAAGTTAAAATTATCACAGTCATCTAAGCAGTTCATCCTTCAGTTTCCTAATCACATTCGGTCATATATTGATGATGTAGTTAATGTTGTATCAGATGGTAATTGTGGATTTAGAGTCATTGCTTCATTGCAAGGATTGGGTGAAGATGGTTGGTCAATGATTCGTCGAGACTTGGGGTTGGAAATAATACATAATGAAAGATCAAGTTTGTATGCCAATTTATTTACTGATCAGTTAGCAGTGGTGAGAGAATCTTTGATGATAGAGGAAGTCGGTTCTCAACCACCACATAAATGGTTAACTCTACCAGATATGGGTTACATGATAGCGAATCGTTATAATGTTGTACTTGTCTGTTTAGGAATTGAATGCTGGACTTTCTTCCATATGACAACTTCATTTTCACAGAATGCAGCAATCTACTGCATTGGTTTTGTAAATGGAAATCATTGGGTTCAGGTACTTAGTTGTTTTTTTGATAATGCGATTAACCCTAAGTATTTTTATTTATTTTTTACTTACTATTTTGATTATTTTTTTATTTAGGTGAACATGAAAGAAGGGTTTCCATTGCCACCGGTGACAGTAGATTGGAAGAATTTTCGTTCTCCAGCAGCAACATCTTGGATGCTAGGATTTGCACCACGTCTACAACATTGGCAACAACTTATGCCTATATTACCAACACATTATACATTATAAATTATGTTACTCATTTTTAATTTCAAAACATGAATAATGAATTTTGTTACTCAATTTTAATTTCAAAACTTATAATATGTAAAGCCTCGAACAAATCCGCAAACTGTGGGTCAAATGAGTCTAAAAGTTAACATATAATCATAAATACAAAATATAAGTCACTGTGATCGAGCAATATGTAAAGCCTCAAACAAATCCGCAAACTGTGGGTCATCATCTTCAGCACCAGCCTGCTGAAGATAACGATGAATCAACGAAGACACACGAGCCCAACTAGGATCAGATGGTCCTGCTTCATACACTGGAACTGGCATCTCTGCTGGCATCTCTGTTGGCATCTCTGATGGTGCATCATGATAGGGTATCGGTACCAATCGAGGATGAGAGACACGATAATAACACTCAAGATATCCATCATCTGTCTCGTATGGGGTGGTGGCCGGTGCTGTCGGACGAATCACATTCTGGACGCTCTGATGGTAACTAATCCAGTCAACATCAATATCACCAGCCATCCTGTGATCAATAGGTGGATGTGGAACATATTGCCTGTATCCAAACTGACGCATACATCTGTCAGGCAAATATGGAACAATAGTGTCACCCCACCTCAGACACCCCCTATATAGGCATAACTCATCGAACTGACGCCATACTCTATGATTCTCGAATGGGCGCCATATGACATCAGCAGGTGTCAGCTCGTCCAGAATAGGTCGTAACTCATCCACCTTCAAGGCACCTTGCCTATATGACCATCTCATCGCTCGAGGGAGACCCACATTATGAGCTGGTATCCAGTTCTCTCCTTTTTTTCCAAGTGTTGGAAAATACTCATGAATCCAGCACTGTCACAAAATTAATATGGTTATTAACATTAAAATAATTAATTATAACATAATAAAATTTATTAAAACAAAATATACTAAATTAAAATAAATACCTGTAAGAGAGTCGGATAACCACCAAGCTGCTTACAGCTGAACATGGAAGCATCTCCGAGATATCTGTAAAGAGTAGCCAACGCAGCTGCTCCCCAACTGTATCCAGATAAGCCATCCAAGTCTATAAACAGTGAGAGGTATCGTGCCTCGACAAGCGTAAACGTCTTGTCCGCAAAAATCGTGGAACCCACCAACATCAACAAATAAGCTCTAGTGGCATAATGCCATCTAGATGCAGCTCTATGCTCAACGAACAGATCATATAACCACTCCAGCTTGTAGTAGGAACCCCTGCATTCACGGACTTGTTGTTGTGCTACTCTCTGTGACACTCCTAAATGATCAACAGCCCACTCAACAGCAAGGGCTTCACTGATATCTTCAGGGCTCCAGAAAACTCCCCTGATGGGCAAGTGAAGCAGGCAAGATACGTCATCTAGAGTAATCGTCATCTCACCAAACGGCATGTGAAATGATGATGTTTCTAGATGCCACCTCTCTGCAAAAGCGGAAACTAGGTTTGTGTCTATCTTTGATAAACTGGTTCTCTGTAGTGAAGCTAAACCAGACCTAGATATCCATCTCTCCATCTCTCTAGGTAGCTGTAGTGGAACCCTTTGAGCCAACTTCAACCCATGTCCAGCCACCTTTAATTCTTTCTTCGACCCTCTCTCCTGAAAAAAATTAAAAGTAAATATATTATAAAATTCAATATTAAAAATTCGAAATGACCGTCAATATTAAATAATTTTCGTTTACTTACCTGATCGAACCATATACGGTATGCAATATGTTGTTCGTACTTAACTAACAGAGACGTATCATATGGTCCTCCTGGATATCCAACTGGTTCGGATGCTGATGCAGATGCATCAAAATGCTCTTCTTCAGCCATCCTGGAGGACTCGCCCCGTCCTAGTCCGCGAGGGATCCTACCATCTCTGCCTCGTGTGCGCACCACTGGAAAAAAAAACCAATATAATTAAAAAAATAAAAATAAAAATAAATATATATAATTAAAAAATAAAAATTAAAACCATAATAATAAATAAATATAATTAAAAAATTTAAAAAGTAAATTAATAAATAAAATAAATAAATAAAATAAAAATTAAAATAAATAAATAAATAAATAAATTAAAAAAAAACAAAAAAAACAATGAACCGGAAGACATGAAGAAAGTCTTCCGGTGAAGGAATTAGGAAAAATGTGTTCCGGAACACTTAAGCGAAGTCTTCCGGTGAAGAAATCCAAGAAATTGTATACCGGAAGACATGCATTAAGTCTTCCGGTGAAGGAAAAAAAAACAAAGGAACCGAAAGACTTACTTGAAGAGTTCCGGTTTGGCTAGCGTGAAAAGTGACTTCCGGAAGACTTTAAGGAAGAGTTCCGGTTTGAGAGATGCAAATGGGTGTTCCGGAAGACTTTTAGTGCAAATGAAGTGAAATGAAATTTTTTTTTTAAATTATACTATTTAAGGAAGGGCATTTTGGTCCAATAGTTTTTAGTGTAGGGGTGTGGGGATAGATGTAGGGGTATGAAGTAAAATTTCCTTTAAATCGATGGAAAAAAGAACCGATTTAAAATCCCATTTTTTAATTTTTTTAAATATTACTTTTTAAATCGGTTGGACCCAAAACCGATTTAAATCCCATTTATTAATTTATTTTCTACCAACCCTAACTTTTTTACATCGGTGGAATAATTGGCCCGATGTAAAAGCTCTAATAATTTTTTTTATTATTTACTATACTGCCACCGTGTTTACAATTTCACATTTTACATCACTTCGAGTGAATACCCGATGTAAAATCATTCTCCCAAATGTCTTTTTTCTAATAGTGCATTAAAAACCACGCCATTTCAAAAAATAATGCTGATGAAATAGTTGTTTATATTATGAAAATCTAGATTACAAACTTACATATTTTATGATGTGTTTATACTCACAAAATACAAATAAGTATCATTAATAAATAAAACATAATAACAACAAAACCAAAAAGTTAAAACTATAGTATTAATGAATAATGTTTTGCAACAAAAGTAAGATATAATTTCGGTAAGAAAAAAATAGTGCAGTAGAAAACCACTCTTACGCATTGTGGTTGCATTAAATATTTGAATTTTACTGTATTTTAGAGTATGGAATGTTTTCAAGTATCACATGATATTTTTTTACTTTATAGTTAATAACTCAGCTTTGAAAAAAAAGAAAGTTTCATAAATAGTAAAATTCTAAAAAAGACTCAATTACAAAAGTCATACAAAAACAATTACTACAAAAGCAATTACAAAAAAATCTACATACAACAATCAATTTTCAGCCATAATAAGAACGACTTCTTCTACCGGGTTGATGGCGCGATCTTGACTGGAAATAAACTTCATCTATTTTTCAAAAATCAAAAGATCACTAATTAAAATTGAATAAATAAAAATATTATAGAATAGAAAAAGTTTTAAAAAAAATAGTTTTTCATTAATAAAGAGATGGAATTTACATAAAGAAATAGAAGAGAATTTTTAACTGTTGTCACCACTTAGTAGTTAATGAAAATTATAGGTGTGAGATTTTTTTTGGTGAGAGATGTAAGTTACTTTTTCAATTGGTAACCAACAAAAGTTATTAATCACTCAAAATTTTAAATTAAACTATCTTCTTGTTGATAAAAAAGATGAAGGGTAATTTTGAAACAAAAATAAGTCACTCCAAAAACTTGTATCCCTTTATATGTAGTTATAGATAAATTGAGGGATTGAAGAGAAATTATGATATAATTGAATTGTTTGCTATGAAATACCTCTGAATTAAGAAAGATGACGATGATAATACATTAACAGTATAAAAAAAATTTACATTATTATCTTACAGAAATATCTTACTCTACCAAATTATATAATTAATTTTAAAATTTTCAATATGATTTGACTAAATACATGATCGTATTGATTGACAATGTAAAAGAAAAGTTAAATTGTCCGTGCGTCACTCTTTTGCCACATAATATCTTCAAAAAATAAAATAAAAAATTCATATAGTCAGTATCACTGCAATAAATAAATGATAACTTGTGAAATTATATTGAGGAATCAATATTACATAGTTTTTTCTGAAGTACAAATCACATTTATTCACGGCATATTGTTCTCTCTTATGATTTGGTGCTCAAAGTAGACGTGTGAGACATGTACACTTAAAATTAAAGCACTTCATAATAGAGTGACGACCACACCTTGGACAATCAGATTCACGAACACATTCCGCCAATTTAAGATGGTTTAAGAAAGTGATTAAAACTTTGAGCAAATGTTTCATGGACAAAGGGCATTTCAAAATTCTAATTAGATGCTGGGGCATAATGGTTTTTTTCTCCGAGTTATATAAAAAAATTGTTTCAAAAAACTAGAATCCATTCGTTATTTTTGGCATAATACGTCCTATATCATCTGATAAAATGGTCAAATCATCTTTTGAATACAGTAAATAATGTATAAGAATAATCCTCAATTTTCTGAGGCAAGGGAAAAATGTTAGACGATAGGTTTTGATTTAAATGGAGGTAAATAGATCATAAATTAAAACTTTAACTTTTAACAAAAATAGTTTTCAAAAATTTTATTGCACAGCGGAAACAATCCGAATCGAATTGTCTAACCGAACTTATTATCGAAAAACTTAGATATGCATAACCTAAATCAATTGGGTGATAACGAACAAAAATTGTTCAACAATGATTAATTCACAAATCAATTAAATGCTAAAGTACACGTAGAGCTTATTTCCAATGATAAAAAATTTAATTAAAAACAATAGACACAATTTATCAAACACCTTTAGTGCAATCGATAACGCTAGGAAATTTTATTTGATTTGTTGATGTTAAAACCAATCACAATCGTAATTCAAAATGTAATCAAAAATTTGATTTCCAAACAACAAAGTTTCGATAATTTTCAAGTATAAAGATTAAATGTGTGCGTATCTGTGTGTGTGTGTGTGTGTGTGTATATATATATATATATATATATATATATATATATATATATATATATATATATATATATATATATATATATATAAAGAAGCAGTGGCGTCAATGGATTCTTCCTTTTTAAGGGATGCTATCTAAGACAAAATAGATTCAATTATATCAAACCACACTTGGGAGCTTGTCGATCTTCCCAAAGGATCAAGGTCCATTGGATGCAAATGGGTGTTTAGGAAAAAAGTATCATAGTAATGGTACATTAAACACCCACAAAGCTAGAATAGTAGCAAAAGAGTTTAGACAAGAGGAAGATGTCGATTACTTTGACACATATGCACTAGTAGAAAGAATTATAACAATTAGAGTATTGTTTGCATTAGCTTCCTTAAATAACCTTATTGTTCATCAAATGGATGGTAAAACATCATTCCAAAATGAACATCTTAATGTGGAAATCTACGTGGAGCAACCAGAAGGCTACGTGTTTCCTGGAATTGAACAAAATGTATGAAAACTTGTTAAATCTCTATACGGTTTGAAACAAACACCAAAATAATGACATCAAAAGTTTGACTCTGTCATAATTTTAAATGAGTTTACGCTAAATTCTTACGACAAATACTTGTACACAAAAGTGTGTACAAACGCTGTAATGTTTAATTATGTGTCTGTATGTTGATGATATGTTGATCATTAGCAACAAGATGAATGAAATCTTAGAAACAGAGAGTTTTTTTCTTCCACATTCTAGATGAAAGATCTTGGACTAGTTCACACTATTTTAGGAATCAAAGTAAAACAAAATAGTGGGGGTTGTGAACTTAATCAAACATTTTAAATTTATAAAATGTTGGATAAGTTAAAACACCTACACTTTAAAGAAGTTAGAACTCCATTTGATCCTAGTGTCAAACTTCAAAACAATAATGAAAGAATTGTGGCCCAATTGGAATATGAAAGTGTAGTTGGATGTATAATATATTTAATGCAAAGCACTAGACCTAACATAGCATTTGCAGTTAGTAAGATGAGTAGATTTACTAGCAATCTAACTGATGAACATTGGAAGGACATAACTAGAATTTTTGGTTATCTTTTAAAAACCAAAAATATTGGCCTTCATTACGGTAGGTTTCCTGTCATACTAGAAGAATATACTGATGCAAGTTGGATATCGAGTGTTGGAGATTATAAATCTACAACTGGATGGATATTTATATTAGATGGAGGTGAAATTTCTTGGAAGAGCGAGAAACAAACATGCATTACTATCTTGATAATGGAATCAGAGTTTGCGGCTATTACGTCCACTGGACAAGATGGAAAATGGTTTATGGACCTTCTGTTGGAGATTCCATTATCTAAGGACAATGTTTTGAAAGTGTTGATACTTTGTGATAGTCAAGCCACCCTAGCTAAAACATTCAGTGAAGTATATAATGGAAAGTTTAGACACATAGGTCTTAGACATTATTTCGTGAGAAAATTGATTAAGGATGAGATCATTTCACTTATATATAACAAGCAATACTTTAGCTGATATTCGTTTACTAAACCACTGACCAGAGACTTAGTAAAGACTACCTTGAGAGGTATGAGATTATAACTCCTTAAATAGAGGTTTTGACAACTCTAGCAACCTAACCTGAAGTTAACAAACCTTAACCAAAAATTTAATGGGTAACTAAAAGTCAGTAATTTGGATGTTTGTGTAACGTTTTGTGACAATGTTGACTATTACATATTAAGGGTTGAATTTTTTTCAAACTCTTAATGAAGTTCTATATTGAGGATATGCATCTCAAGAAATAGATACAAAATGAACTTCACCTATATGAATTTCGATATGGTGTTGTCTCAAGGTGAGAGTTGGAGTTTCTCTGTTGAAAAATCCACGAAATA